GGAATTAATGAGAATAAAATCAGCATGCAAAAACTTTTTGTTTTATCTTTTTTTTATTATTGTAAATGCTTACTCGACAGTTTCATCAGGCTTTTTTTAAATCATTTTCGTAAATCGACTTTTAGCTTGTTTAATCTGCCTAATCAAAGGCGCCAAAAAAATAGGCACCTTTTTTTTTGAGTAACTCAAACTATTAACCTGAGCAACATTCAAAGCAACTGTGCAACATAGTAACTTTTAATCTTGCTAAAAAGCAAAGAAATTATTGGTTTAAGATTAAAAAATAAAAATCGGTAAACAACTATGTATTCAATATATCAAAAGTTTTTTGCTCTTAGTGAGTACATCCTTATTCTAGTTCCGCAACATCTACAAAATTAAATATTGTGCAGTTAAAGGGATTATTATTTAGTGAATGCGTAGCACCAAAACAATTTCATTAAAGATTATTAAAGTGTATAAGGATTCTTTGAGCTCAATTAGAATAGTAGAAATATGAAAAGCATAACGTGGTTGTACAAGTTTTTAAGATGATCCACGTCAAGGACGTACAAAAAGTGCATTACAACCAGAAATCGTATCAAAAAAATAACGTATATTTTTGGAAGATTGTCAATAAATTGAGAGAGATTTAGTAGAAGCTCTTGACATCTCCTTAAGTAGTGTAAACAAAATTTTGAATAAAGTTTTGGGTTTCAATAAGTTGTGTGCACAATGTACGTTACATTTGCTAACAATGAAACAAAAACAAATTCGGTTGCAAATTTCTTAGCAACATTTAGCGATTTAGAAAGAATAAAAATAATTTTGTGCGTCGTTTCATAACTGTGGCTAAAACTTGGGTCTACAATCATTAACCCGTTGTGACCTTTTGGACCAGTTTTGGACAATAGTGAGAAATGACCAGATTTAGAAAAGAAAAAAATAACTTTTCATCAAGAAAACGCACCTTACGCAGGTCAAAAAACCATCGCGAAAATCAGTGAATTAAAGTATAAATTGTTGCAACATCTATCATATATACCAGTTTTTGTTCGGCAAATAGGGTAGACGTTGATTTAGTGTGAGAATAGCCATAAGTTGACTAACTTATGGCTATTCTCACATTAAATTCATCACACAAAAATTATTCACACAAAAAAGTTCATGTGTTGAAAACGATTTTCATTAAAACAAAGAATTAAAGCAGCCGTGGAAACCTATTTCGAAGGTCTTCTAGATTCTTACTACAAGGATAGAGTACATAAATAAGAAAATCATTGAAAAAAGTGTATTGAAGTTTAGAGCGATTATATAGAATAACAAACTGTATTTAAAACACTTAAATTTATTTTTTTTTAAAACGATAAAACTTATTCAGCAACCTAGTAGAAAAATATAGCTACTCAGAGCAATAGCATATATAAAAACAATCTTGTGAATATTGTCCTACATTAAGTGCTGCAGGTATTCATATTTAATGAACCAATGTTTTATTTTAATTTTATGTAAATATAGTAATTCAGAGCAGTGCCGCCCCATTGAGTTTTTTCCATAGGAAAAGATGGGGAGAGGTGTCGTATGTATTTTTTTTGCCAAAAAGAAACCTAAAAGAAAAAAAAAGGTCCTCAATATTTGCAATTTGCCAACTACACTTGCTCAATGTGCCAACTCTAATGCTTATATGACAGGTTTAAGAGGGCATGATACCCCTATACCCCCCTTCGAGACAGCCCTGAATGAAAGCAATGGCATATATAAAAATATTCTTGTAGAAATTGGCCTACTTTAAGTGCTGCAGGTATTCATATTTAATGAACCAATACTTCATTTTAACCAATATTTTCTTTGCTTTTTAGCAAGATTAAAAGTTACTATGTTGCACAGTTGCTTTGAATGTTGCTCAGGTTAATAGTTTGAGTTACTCAAAAAAAAAGGTGCCTATTTTTTTGGCGCCTTTGATTAGGCAGATTAAACAAGCTAAAAGTCGATTTACGAAAATGATTTAAAAAAAGCCTAATGAAACTGTCGAGTAAGCATTTACAATAATAAAAAAAAGATAAAACAAAAAGTTTTTGCATGCTGATTTTATTCTCATTAATTCCTTTTATATCAGCGTCTAATTAGTTATCCTGAGCAATAAGTTTATAAAACCGAAATGAGAGGAGAACAGTCTTTATATATATGAAGCTCAATTTCACTTAATATTTCAAAAAGTATACTTTTGATGTTACAAAAAGTATTATATACTCTTCTTCCTTGATTAATACTTCCTAATTTATAACAAGCGATGCAAGCAAAATAATAATAAAAAAACAAGTTAGATAATATAGAAAAGTTTTAGCCTGTTCTTTTTTTTTTAATATTATAAAATACAACATTTTTTCTTTCAAATTTTTCTTTTAAAATACATTATAAATTAAAAAGAAAATTTAGTTGCTAAATAATAAGGTTAATTTATAGGAAGAAGAAACAACACAACAATCACAAGTTTTTTTCTAAATTTTTTTTATTTAAAGTATTGCTTTAAGAAAATTAAATTTACTTTGTGACTCTAATTTGGCATTGATTGTATATTCAATTTCGAAAAGAAATAATTAAACTTGAAAAGTGACTTTTTGAGTGTATCAAAGTTTTCTTTAGAAAAACACTTTAGATGTAAGATTGTCAGGAAGATCATTAATGTAGATAAAAAATAACACAGGACCAAGTATACCCATTTTAGGTACTCCAGAAGGTACTAGAAACGAAGAAGAGTGTTAGCCTTCAAGGATGACATAAATAAAACAATTAGAAAGAAATGATTTGATAACCTCAAAAACTTTCTCAGATACGTCACATGAAGCAAGCTTATGGAGAAGACCAGCATGCCATTACAGTTAGCAAGTCGGCCTTAAAACAAGAAGTTCAAAAGCCATATTGATTGTCAGGGAGTAAAATGTTAGACTCAAGTTGGAATGTTAGAAATTTGTTGATCAATTCTCAAAGACTTTGCTTATAATATAGAGAAGACTGACTGGATAGCAGTTAGAGGGGACAGGTGTCAAGATTTAGATTCAGTCAAGCACTCATTAAACAGTTTAGTAAAAATTAAAGAAACTTATGGAGAACACTTTCGTTTTTGAACAGAATGTCAAAGTGGAGAATAATAAGTTCTACCTTGACCAGAAATTAAAGAAACATGTATAATAGTAAAGAAACATGTATATTACAGAAGCAATCATTCTAGAAATCAGTAGAGAACAAACATATTTGGTTTAGGAGGATGGAGAATATTTGGATAAGAATAAACATATTTGGTTTAGGAGGATGGATAAGATAATGATAAACATAAGTGCTGAAAAAATATGTGCTGGTTGTACTGCTTTGGTTTCTGCTTGATATAGTATAGGTATTCGCCTACAAACTTCATTAGTAGCTGCAATCTACAATTGAAGATTGGGATACTTAAAGACAACATCAGGCAAAAAATTATAAATACTCTTAAAGGTAAGATATTCTGTATTTATTTTAATGGAAAATATATACAATAATATATATAAATCTTAAAGGTAAGATATTCTGTATTTAATTTAATGGAAAATATATATAATAATATAAATAAATATCTTACAAGTGAAACAGATTGAAGAAGACTTTAACTAACTGTTTTTTTTTTAAAGTGATAGCAGTCAGTGTTACATCACATGATATAGATGGCATTGATGACAAACAGCTGGGTATTGTTCAGTCAGAAAGGCTTCAAAAGTAGTGACCATACAAGTCTGATAACATGCAACAAAACATAATGCTAGTGGCCAGGGACAACAAGAAGAAACCTAAAAAAAGAATATTATTATAATAAATCTCTTAGAGTAGCATCTTAGAATACTATCCTAATAAATCTCCTCTCGTAATAAAATTAAGAAATATAACGCATATTATAGTATTATGTTTAGACACACATCCCCTATGTATATTGTTTATAAATGTCATAGTTAGTCAAATTTGCTGCTTAGAATATTACACTCCCTTAGTGTAACTAAGAATAATACCACAAACTATCAATATGTTTAGAATGTCATACCCCTATGTACTACCAGTATTATATATGTTATATATATAAAATATCACAATTCCAATGTATATTGTTAAAAAATTTCATAGTTAGTCTTATTTGCTGCTTTGAATCTTAGATGTAAATAAGAAATCTATTGTCAACTAACAGTTTTATATTACTTAAAATATCACCCCCCCTCCTATGTAGGGCATGGGTAGGTCATGTAGGGCAATGACAAAAACCTAAACTTATAATCAAGCAATATTATTTATTCTGCTACCAGTCCTCTTCCAATGTATTTTGAATAAACTGGGTAAATTTTGAAGAAAAAGAATCTATCTGGAATCTATCTGGAGATATCCTTTTTTAACTTTATCAGATTTGCTATAAATCTAATATGGAGATAATCAAAAAATGGTAATAAAATTAAAAATAAAATGTTCCAAATTCATAAAAATGAATTGGTTTTACTGCTGCTTATTTATCCAAGAATCATTTTTTAGTTCCTCTCATCTTCTAGCTTTACTTTGCTTTTGTTTGTAGATATATACTTTGCTTTTGATATATAATACACATCGTGTAACTTAGTAGCTTTATTCATAAAACGTCCATTATTTAGGCCTCAAGCTTTTAAAACATTAATTACTTCTTTTAAAACCACTATTGAATGGATTAATAGTATATTTGTCAATGATAATTTCAAAGACCTTTTACCAATATATATATATATATATATATATATATATATATATATATATATATATATATATATATATATATATATATATATATATATGTATATATATATATATATATATATATATCCTTACAATAACTTTCATTAATGTTCTGTATATTACTGCAAAACACTTTTTTAGTAAATCTTGATTAGATAAATCTCTGAAACGTGGTTTTAAAAACTTTGTGAATGGCCAATTAAAGGCCTAATTTTTTTTTGTATTAAAATAAGTTTGTTAGTTTATCAGACTGCCACAAGTAGTACTTGACGTTGGACAAAACTTGGTGGCATATTTATAAATGATGCAAAAGTACGCGAAGATTTATGACATTTTCCAAATTCTCTAAGAGCCACAATAGCATTTAACTTTACAGTAGCAACAGGTTTTTCAAGAGAGGTTATAATTGGTTTAAGGCTTAAAGAAGATATATCAAAGTTTGTGAAGAACATACACACATTACATGACAACTGTAACTCATATAAGAACCCATTTTTGTTTCGTAAATTGTCTTTTAGTAATAACTTTCCACCATTTAATGAACAACATTCACTACATTAACAATCATTAAACATTATCTTTAAAACTTTAAAGTTTATAATTATATTGTAATTATCCTCTGTAATTTATCCTTTAAGTTTGTTTTCTAAATTATGAAGCTAAACATTATTTTGCTTTTTTTTTTTTTTTGACTTCGGTGTAGTTAAGGCGATTTACAAAATATTCGAATTCTTTTATTTGAAATGAGCATGAATTTATCATCGTATTACGTTAAAACAAGAGCTTTAGATGTAATAATTGTTTTTTGCTTTAGGTTTTTTGATATTTAAAGAAACTTTTTTTTTCTTTATGTAACTTTTAAAACCTTTTTACTACCCCTAGTAGCGAGTTTAAAAAAACTATTTTGGAGTCTTTAGATCAGTTTCGCATAAACTTAGTTAAAATCTTTTGAAAAAGTGCCTTAACCCACCATAGATCTTAATTTTATTCGGTTCTGACGTTTTACCTATATATAGTTGTCAAAATACAATATTTCTTTCAATTTTTACAAAAAGTACTGAAATTCCGACCAAGAAGGAACTTATAATTAAGGAATATTGCCAACAAACGATTAGGACAAATCATATTATTAAACTATGATGCTCATTTTACCTAAAAAACGTATTAATTTAAAATCTTATTTAAATTTGGACAAGCAATTGTGATTTTAAGAACATTTAAAAAAAGAAAAGAATCTTTAATCTGGATTTTTTTATTACAAACATTTATATTTCAGTAAAATTTATTGTTTTAATTTTTTTCCTCTTTCCATAATTCTCAGATTTGATCATTTAACCGAAATATGTCGTAGTCAACAAAATATGTCGTAGTCAACAAAATATGTCGTAGTCAACAAAATATGTCGTAGTCAGCAAAATATCATACAGACGCTACATTATTTTAAAAATGCCTTTACTACCCAGAGTTGCACTTCCTGTTTTGTTTAAAACAGAGATTTGATTAAAATTATCTATACTTAAATTGGTAACATGGTTTCCTCTAAATACTTTTTTTTAACATATTTGGTAGATCTTGAAATTTTTTCAAAACTTTTTTACTTTTTTATCAATTTATCATTGAATAACTTGTAAATATAACTTCACAAGTTTACACTGCTGTTGTTACTTTACACAGCACTCTACAATATTATACATGTCAAACTTTCGCAGCAAGGAGTTTAAAATATTACCAAAAAGCCATAAAAGTCTTTTCAGGATTTTAAAGGAACAGTTCTTCTAAAAGAGACAGACAAAATCTACTATATTAAAATCTGTAACAAGGGTAGAGAAGACTGCTTACATTTTATTTTTTATTAAATCAAAAATTTGAACCAAGGTAGTTTGAATATTTTCGGTAACTATTAAAACGATTTCATGACATTGAATTAAATATATTTTGTTGGAACATCAAATTTTCAAAGACCTCTTCTGTGTGACAACCAACCCCAACCACGCGGTTTGTTGTCACAGAGTGTAGGGTTGGTTATCACATGCAAATTTGAGTACAACCTAATTTTGTTCTGAGACTAAAGTTTTTCAGATTATTCTGAAAACAACTACTTTTTTTTTTATGATTTCACCTCCCTCGAGACTACTATAGTCGAGGAGGATACTTATTGTCGTTAAAACTCTCTCTCTCTCAACTCGCTTCCTTCAAAACACAAACCTTCGTGGATTCAATGCGCGTAGAAACAAGCGCGGTATTTCCAGGGACGTAGAATAATCTTAAGCTTATAATAGCTTGTATAATTAAAGAAAATGGAATATACTAAAACATTAATTTTCTTTTAAAAAGTACAACACAAATTACACTATAATGAATGTTTTTAAAAATGGTGTTTTAATTAATGTTTTAAGAAGGACAAATTTCACAAACAAACTGCAGTAAGCCTGGTGTGCTTTCTTTATGAGCTTATTATTTGCAAAGCTGACATTGAATCCACTGTTCTCTGCTATTTTCAAATGATTCAAAACAGTAGATGCATAAATATTCTTCATCTTTAGATAAATTTAAAAATGTCAAAATGCTTTTTTTTAACAAAATTGACTTCAAAAAATTTTTCACATGTAATTTAGGATTTTTAGTCTTACTGGTTTGCTTGTTTTTATGATTACTAAGCCATGCTTTGACAGGTTTTATCATTAGTAAGCCATGCTTTGACAGATTTTATCATTAGTAAGCCATGCTTTGACAGGTTTTAACATTAGTAAGCCATGTTTTGACAGGTCACTTAGTTAGTATCATAGTTTAACGCTTTTTTCTTCCTCTTTTTGATAGTAACCTTTAACCTTCTCTAGGCAGAGGCCTAATACTCTTAGGTGGTACAATTAAACTTTCAAAAATAATGGAGTCCTTGGGTCATGATCATAGATTTTATTTGATACAAATGGATCTTTTATACTTCTTTCTAGCTGATTAGCCGGTATCTGGATAAATTCTTCATACCTTTAAACCGTTTTTTTTTATTTTTTTATTTTTTTTATACATATTATTTTTATAACTACAAAGTGTTTATAAGTAACCAAACACAGATTGGCGGTAAAGATATACAAATATGGTCTTCCACGGTGCTCTGTGATAAGACCTTAAGGATTTCTTGAGGCACCTAAAATAATTTCTCAAATCAATAAAAAAAAACTTACAAATGTACATTTAAAACACAATAAAATAATTTCTTTGAAAAATGTGAAAAAAGTGAAATTCAATTTTTACATATCAAAAACCCAAATAAACAAGCAAATTTTTTCTACACGCTAAAAAAGATAGAAATAACTGTAAAAAAGTCTTTTTTTAAATATGGTTTCTGTTGTACAATTTAAAAAGTCTAAATCCTATCTACATTTTTAGTAACAAACTTTGTGACAACCAACCCACGTGACAAAACTATTTTCAGCTGTATTTAGCAGCCGTAGCGCAGTGATTAGCGCGCTTGCCTCAGAAGCTAGAGATCCTTTATTCAACGCCACCACTGGGCAAGTTTTATAATATAGCTAAGGAAGGAAGCGTTAACTTCTTTTCAATTGCTCTTCTGCGGTGCTCTGTAATAAGACCGTAAGAACTTCTTAGGGCACCTAAAATAAATAAACGAAAATTAAACATATGGCTTACTTTGTTAAAATAAGGATAAAATATCGTTGTAGACGATAGACGAAATAAAACAATGCATTATAGTCAATGCATTATTTTATACATGAAGTGTATAACTAGGTATATGTTGATTTTGAACACATTTTATTCATAAAATTGAAAACCTAATATCTAAAAATGGTTTTGCTCTATATATCATTACAATATTTATTGAAAAATTACTTTCAAGAGTGCTTTATATGATTCTTCCATGAACATTTTTCATCTAAAATAGCATCTAAAAAGTTTACTAATGTTTGTCAAGTAGTAATTATACCATTTATTTTTAGATTGGGTAATTTTAAAGGAAAGTTTCCTGTTTTAGCTAGTTTTTTGAAATAGAATTAATTTAGTTTTGTTAACGTTAAGTGAGAGTCTGGTAAGTGTTCTTTAAACCTTAAGAAGTTAAAATAAAAACTTTCATGTTAGCTGTTTTTTCTTTTTGTGTTGGGTCTTTCTAATGTTTTGTAAAACGTCCTTTTTTCCTAAAAATATTCTAAATCTCTTTTACTGCCAATTATACAAGAACAAAGGGACACCATTTTGAAGTCTTTAGATTGATTTTGCTCCATTAACTAGAGTTTAGTTTAAATTTTTTAAAAAAGTGTCTCAATTTACTTTCAACTTTACATTCAAGTTCATCATCTATTCTAGAACATCTTAACTAATTATGTTTGTCAAAATTAGTATTTTATATTTATTTAAATTTCTATCATAATTCAGAGATCTGCTAATTAATTGGAGTTAGTTACAACATCGTTAGTTGTTTAAAGAATCTTGCCGATACCATACGGCGACTTTGAAGAAAGTAATGAAATTATACTCAACTGGCGGAAAGAAAAAAAATTTATCAATAATTGAACAATTTTTGAGACAAAGTTGGGTTTTTGTTACGTCAGACAACTGTGTTTTTGTTACGTCAGACAACTGTTGATGTGTAATTGATGTGGTTCGATTATTTATTTAAAAGAGCTTGTTTAAATATATGGCGACAGAAGCAAATCGTTATCATGCACAAAATATAAAGTAATTTAGAACTTAAAAGACATGCACAAGATGAAAGAGTGAGATTACTCTTTGAGTGGAGTTTGAAAAGAATGAGATTAGTCTTTGAGTGGAGTTTGGACCTAAAAAACGAATATTTGTCAATATAAAAAATAATAAAATGAAGCAATTTTGCTCAAGTAATCATTTATTTTAAAAATATGTTCATGCTTTTTTTTTAATACTGATAGTTATTGGTAGAATGACATGATCTTTCTGCGACAATGTCAATAGAAAACAGTTTTACCACCTAAATTCAGAATATATGAAACATATTTATCGCACATGAGGCACATATGTGCAATTAAGCAATGAACAAGTAGTGTCGGAAAAAAAATTCAAACCTCCTTTAACCCAAAACCCTAAACCCTCCTTCGGATTTTCTATTTAGGTGTAAAAATAAAACGCTGCAATATTTTATAACATTGAAACAACTAATTGAAAATTTTTAGCAACTTCTTAATAAAACAGCACAATATTCATTTAGTAACTCATTTTGTCTGACTAAACGAGTTTAACTATTAAAATTAAGTTACTAAATAAGGAAATAAATAATTTCTAACTAAAGAAGCACATTTGGACTAAATGTGCGTTTTTAAAAATTATTAGCTTGTTTTAAGTCAAAAATTGATTTAAAAAATGTTCTAATGACCAAAAAAACAAAAGTTGCTTTAGAAAATTTGTTCTTGATAATACTGTAAAAAAGTTTTAGTTAGGCCTAAATAAATTAACTCCCCCCACTCATATCTTACTTTCATCAATGTTGCTTAGTAAAAAATAATATTTTAAATTATTGTTTATTAATAACTCCAGTTATTAATAAACAATAATTTAAAAAATAATCTTTTAAATTATTGTTTATTAATAACTGCTATTCTAAAGTACTTATTATAAAACATTATATCCACGGGGATTTAGTTATTTAGTTAAAATTTTTATTTGGCTTTTAGTTATAACTTGAATTAAATAACATGCAACTTATATTTTCCTTATCAGATGCTGTCAGTTTCTTATGCAGTAATGATAGATTTGTTTTAACAAATTAACAGTTACTTGTTTTAGTACTGGAACGATCTTTCAAATGCAATGCTGAGTTGTATAATAATGAACATCGAATTATTTCTGACAGAGATTTACGACGGTTAACAGATTTTTTTTGACAGCAAAATAAAACTATTTTTATAATTTCTCTTCGAAAAGTTGTGAGCAAACGGGAATATAATACCGGATTGCCAATAGAACTACAAATTTCTAGCAATATAAGAATATCGTATATTGTGCTAGCGGTTTCAATCAATAAAGCATTTTGGTTAAATTCGTACCATAAGTAATATATATTTGACGGCAATATACATACGTAGAATATGACCACGGCAAAGACCACCATTTTAATAGTTTTACTGTTTTGTTGTAAACGAATTGCAATAACTCTATGAGAATCTAGTAAAGCTTTGTTTTTGGCTGTTTTTTTTAACTCAAATATAATCAGGAAATACATTATAGTAAATAAAGTAATGGGAACTAAAGTTTGTATTGTAAAAATTCCAATTGTTAAACCAACCGATATTTGCTTTTTCATATTTGATGAACACATAAAATATTTGCTGTAATAAGTAATATGATCTTTTACTAAATAAACACTTCCCAAACAACCGGCAGCTAACCATATAAACGCAATTATATAAATTATATTAAGTCGATGCGGTCGTTGATGCAATGGCCATTTTACAATAATAAATCGATCAATAGAAACAGACAATAGAGTTATTGCTGAAGCTGTCGTACTAATTGTGTTTAAAAATACTAAGAGCTTGCATCCATAGTTCCCTATAAAACGAGTCAGCGTAAGTATTATTCGAAGTGGTGCAGCTACTGCTTTTAAAAAATCCGAAAGTGCCAAACTGGTCATGAATATTTCAAATGATTTTAGTTTAAACCACTTTGAACAAAAAAAAAGTAAAACAAGGCTGTTTCCCAACGATCCTAGCGTGATCACAACGACACAGATAACTAAAGAAACTAAGCGCAATGTTTCAGAAACGTTCTGTTTTTGTAAATTTATAGTTGAATTCGATGAGGAATTCATAGCGCTTAGTTTTATAAGTATTTAATTTGTAGCTTCTTTTTTTTTAAAATGAGGTAAAAAATCAATGTCTTTCCTCAAACCAAAACATCATTTATAATAAAAAACGTTTTAACAAGTTGTTTAGTTCTTATCTTTATATAATGTTAAGAACTATATATTTTTTAAATAAAATTAGTCTTTATCTTTTTATTCAATACACCCTCTCATGTCTTTGTTTCTTATGAAACACAAAGAACGTTAAACTTAGTAGGTTGGACCTATGCTATCTGAAAAAAATTTAATATATATCAGTCTTAATAATTAATCAGAGTTGTACTAAAAGCTTTGAAAACTCAAGACTTTTCAAAAATTTCTCATAAGTATCCCACTAATTTTTCAAATTATAATTTTTTAGTTCCAAGATTCTATTTAAAACTCAGTTCATTCCAAATGCAATATCGTGGACCATTTCTATGGAATTAATTTTTTCAAAAAATTATTAAAAATAACATTCTTAAATACATCTATTTTGAACAATTCAAAACAGTATGTAAACGTTTCTTATTAAGAATTAACTTCGATTTAAAATATTTATTTTAAAATTTGACTATAAAATAAAATAAATAAACTGAATAGATCTTCACCTTTTTCTTTTTTTTCTTTTTTTTATAAAAAGTCATTTTATTTTCCATTAAATATGCTATGACTGTAAAATTATGCTATTTTAATATCTTATTTTAACTTATTAATAGCTTTGTAGTAATATATTTTTGTTTTTTATGTTACCTATTTTTATGTTTTAAGTTTTTAAATTGTAATATTAACTGACGGCTTCTATGTAAACGGGGCTCGGCGATAAGACAATATGTATTCTTCTTGCTCCGAACATTTTTATATATGTAAACAATTTAGCAGTTTTTCATTCTCCGGGTTTCTCCAACCCAAAATTTCTCCAAACCAAAATTAAGTTGGTTTTCTAATTATATCCAATGTTTATTTGATAACAAACATCTGTCAAAAATTTATTTATTTTTGTTTTGTATTATTAAGCAATTACAAACAAATTTAAACATCACGATCTACTTATCAAATTTTTATTATTTTCAGCAAGGACGTATTAATAGATGGACGTTTAACCCATTGTTAGATCTGAGGCGCCGCAAGTAAACAAAAACCTATGCGAGCTATAATTTTTAGGGTCATTTTTCTGAATAATTTATAAAAGTAAACCGACGTATTTTCAATAATTTCGCTTTCCTAACTACTTTTTTTAAAAAGTACAATTACCTACAAAACTCTAAAAATTAATGCATAATAGTTATACAGAAATAGCTCATCTGTTTTAAAATGTCAAATTTGATACGTGAGCGCTTTTTAATAAGAACTTATTATTAATAAAACTTAGACGTCAAAAATCATATTTTTGTAAAAAAGTGATATTTAGTTTGCAAGAATGAGTACTGCAAAGTGAAACGAATTTTCTAGCTGTTGTAGGTAAAACTGTAGATCATATATAGATTGAACTATAGATTACTTGTGGTCTCTATTCCCTACACTTAGTTTTCACTATTATTTTAAGTTTTTAAGTTTCTCATTTTTGTCGGAAATTTTGTCTCACAATTTTGTTTTAATATTTTTCTGTGATTAACTTTTTTTTTTTCCATGTAAAGATTTCGTATGAGTTTATAGATCATAAAATGAAAAGGTTTTATTTATTTAAAAATTTTAGAGTTTTTAGGTGTAATGGAATGTTTAAATTTTTCTAAGGCTAGACGAAACTATCGTTATTTTGACGAAAAATCAAGTAAAATTATTCTTTAAAAGTTTAAAAATAAAAATTTAAAAGTTTAAAAATAAGTTAAAAATAGTTCTCTATTGTTTTGCTATTGTTATTTGTAACAATGAATAGCGCGGATATCTTGGCTTTTAAACAATACGTTAAACATCCATTTATTAATACGTCCTTGTTTTAACTAAGAACTGGCGTTAGCGTAATTTGATTATGTTAAATTTCAATACTGATTTTTAAATAATGAATCGAGGGTGATAAGTAACTACTGCGATACTTAGTTAGGTAATTGCGATGCGGTTTGTAGCAGTTTCCATCAGACTGCTAACGATTTATTGCAAGCCGATTATTATCGCGAAAAATCATCACAAAAGTACTAAATTTTAACTATGATGGAGAATTAAAAAATTGCTACAGTTTGTACAATTTCATATTTTGAAATTTTTTTAGTCTATAGCGTCCACTAACTACCCTGAGAAATAAGGATGACATCATCCGCATTTTGAGCGCTAAAGATTTTTGAAAATTGTTAATCTTTTAAACAAATAAGAAAAAACTTATTAAAAAAATTTTTATTTTTTTCATTCATTACTAATACAAAAAAAAAAACTTGCAAGCTTTACTAATCAAGCTTGCAAGCTTGATTAGCAAATTTGCTAATTTTTTAATCGCTTGATTAAAAAATTAGCAAATTTTTTTTTTTTAATTTATTTAATTTGTATTTGCTGTTTATATAATAAGAAATATAATTACAAAGAAACGTTTACATACAAAAAAAAGTGAATTTATAATAAACAGGCAGGCTTTTTATTATATTGGAGATACTATTTTTAAAAAAAAATAGTATCTCCAATATAATAAAAAGGTTAAAGTTGGCATAAATATTTCGATTAAATCAAGAAAGTAAATAACATCATATAGTTTTATCAATATTCATTAAAATATATTGGCAACTCTGTTAAGTATCAAAATAAGAGCCAATTAACAAGTAAAAAAACTAAGAATAATGGAACTCGTTTTTCATTTCGAAAAATCAAGAAAACTAATTATCTAATTTAAAAATTTCATTTTTTATTATAAACTTAAACGTTTCGCCTAGAAAGGGAGGGGGGATGGGGTGGCGATTTTGTGATAATTTGTTACGAGGGGGAAGATTTTGAGACGCAAATTTTTTTTTTTAAAGAAGACTTTCTTTTGTTTAAAAGAGTACCTGACCAAACCAAAACCCACAGTGGGGTCACAAAATGTCAAAAACTGCGTGACGTAATTTATGGACAACCCCTAATGTAGATTATTGATTTAATTACTAGAATTCAAATCAGAGAAGACAAAAAATATTTATTAAGAGGTTAAAATTAACTCTTGCAAAGTATGCAGCATTATGGCGTGTATCATATTGAAAAATATATATTTAATAGTAGAAATCAGATTTGGTTCAATTCAGTTTTTAAAACAACCCGAGAACCTGTCTAACTTCCAATTAATCACGTTGTGCGAGCTATTTCAACTAATCCTTATAACTTTTCATTTAATACGGCTAGACTTATTAAGTTCTGATTAATCTGATGATATTTATTAATTACCGCGTAATCCTAGTAAATACTTACTAAGTACTTATCAGGATTAAACAAAATATTTAGTAAGTACTTAGTAAGTTTTCCAAGCAAATATAAAAACTCTCACTTCATTATACGCCATCTTTAATTTATCAAACGAAAGACAAGTCAGCTAAATCCAAAACAGCATTTATAGATAGGAGAGAGCGAGGTTGGTTGTCACACTTTTTACATTTTAGACTGCTCAGCTTTTTTTTTTCATCAAATCAATACCAAACTTTGCCCGAAAGTAATTTAATTATTTCCGGTAAATATTACAATATTTTTATGACATTGAGTGAAATATTTTTTGCTGCAAAATCGTTTATCAAAAACCCCTTCTGTGTGAAAACCAAACCCATCCACTGGGTTGGTTGTTTTGATTAAATTTAAAGCTAGTACCAATAAATTCTGTTTAAATAATACAAAGAACAGATCTAAATAATCTGAAAAAAAAAGGCTATATACTAAAAATTGCTATATGCCGGTAAATGTTTTTTTTTTTTTTTTTAATATAATGCTATATACACATTTAGTTTAGGACTACTTATGTGTTTTTAAAAATGGTGTTTTCATAAGCTGTTGGGTGAAAAACGCAATGCGAATATAAATTGGTGTAAGCCTGGTGTGCATTCTTCATGAGCCCATTTTTGGCAAGTCCACTGTTCTCTTGATCTGCTGTTAGCAAATGATTCACAACAATAGATACATAGATGCACTTTATCTTTAGATGAATTTAAGACTGTAGAAAGTTTTTTTTGGATAAAATTTGACTTTATCAATTCTTCTTTACTTACATTAATAGATAATTTACGATTCTTGGTAATATATCCTTTTTTAGTTTTTTTTTTATATAATTAGCAAGCCATGCTTTGACAGGTTAGTAAGTAAGAATCATAAATGAACGCTTTTTCCTACCTCTTTTTGACGCTAACCTTGGATCTGCTTTAAGCAGAGGCTTTATACTTTCAGGTAGTATAATTGAATTTTTTAAAACTAAAATTTTAAAATTTAAGGCAATTATGATAACCATCCATACTTTTTATGTGACAAGCAACCCCTTCTATGTAAGTTGCAAGAGCTGCTATCGCATACTAACCATTTTGAATGTATGCTAGCAAAAGATGAATGTGTGTTAGAAAAGTATGAATGTGTGCTAGCAAAAGATAAATATGTGCTAGCGAAAGATGAATAATCGCGTTAAAAAGATGATTAACCACGTTGCGTGTGATAAATAATTGAATAAATAAATCATTTTCATCTGTTTTGCTGTATCATACTAAATTGAGGAACATTTCTGTTTTTAATATAAGTTATCAGACCCCCTCCCCAACTTTTGCGACCTTCCTACGCCACTGTATGTATGCATGTATAAAATTCTGTAAAAGTTTCTGGTCTTCAAATGTTGTTTTACTTGAAAACCATTTTTGCGCGTTTTCGGACCATTCATAATAGTTTTA